CATTCAGTCAGTATATTATTTGGTGCTATATATGATCCAAATAATAAATCTATGGCTACTCGTAATTGTATTAATTTATTACGATTTAATTTAGCTATTGAGAAAAATTGTTGGATAGATAAATTACCTCCATCGTGACATGCAACATATTCTTCGAGCTAAATGGCAGATCAATGAATGGATGCAAGCACCTCTGTCATGTATTGAATTATTAAAACCACCTGAATATGGTTGGTTACAAGAAAATAATATTTTATTTCCAAATTACTTTGACGGTGACTCGGCAATGGAATTATTATAAAAATATTTTTGCTTCTGTAGCGGAAAGTCTCCTTGTTTGGCTATAACATGCTCTTGTTTGGCTTCGGATTTGAAATGTTGTTCGATTTGTAGGTATTCAAATAAATGTATGAATAAAGATGATGATAATGATAATAAAGATGATCTTAATGAATAAAAGGTCGATAACAATATTCAACATTTGTGTTTTATTTAAGTCTATATTCTAGTGTAGATATTTCAACTTTCAAGCAAGCACTGTGCCTAGCTACGATACTATTAACGACTCGGCGGCGTCGCGTCGAGACCGCTCACGCGCCGCGGACGCGCCTTCAGAGTCTCATTCTAATAAAGTTTTCACGGTCAATAACAGTACGGATCAAAATAAAAAAATTCTCGTTATAGTTTAAGATTGGCCGAATATTTTCGTTTTTTATTCATACTGATTGGATGATTAGTTTGTGAGAAAAAAAATCGTAAATGTAGACATTTTTCAAGATTTGACATTTTTTATCTCGAGAACTATTGATTTTATCAAAAAAGTCTAAGAGACAAGAAATGTTCAAAGATCCAACAAGGAAAATTATCAATGATTTACGTGATATTTTAGTTAGATGGAAAAAGAAAGGTTTTATCGATGACGCTATATATAAAAATTTACTTAACACTGACGGCAATACTCCAAGGGCGTATGGATTGACAAAAATTCATAAGATTAATTACCCTCTTCGAATTATAGTATCATCAGTGAATAGTCCATTATACAATTTATCACTTTATTTACACAAGATCATTAATGATTCTATAACGAAACCTCTGAGTTATATAAAAAAACAGTAGTGATTTAATTGATAAATTGAGAAATATTAAACTGGAACCGAATTCATCACTAGTCTCATTGGATGTTATTTCCCTGTTCACTAACATACCTATAGACTTGGCATCTGATAGTGTTGTTAAAAGGTGGGACTCTATTTCCATAGGGACGAGAATTATATTAGATGAATTCATAATTGCATTCAGATTAATATTAAATTCTACAATTTTTGTTTTTAACGGTGTCTTTTACAAACAGATTTTTGATACCCCTATGGGATCCCCTCTATCACCCATAGTAGCGGACATGGTGATGCAGGATTTCGAAGAAATTACGATTGGATTATTGCCGGTTCAGTTACAATTTTATTATCGATACGTTGATGATATTATTTTGACAGCTCCTTCCGATAGCATTGATGACATTCTTAATATTTTTAACTCATTACACACTAGATTACAATTTACTATGGAAGTTGGCAAAGATGGAAAAATTAGCTTTTTGGATATTTTAATTATCGTGGACAATAATAACTTAATATTTGATGGCTACCGAAAAGCCATTTTTTCTGGTAGATTCCTTAATTTCCATTCTCAACATCCTATCTGTCATAAAAGAGGGGTTATTTATGGGGTAATAGACAAAATAATTCGTTTGTGCCATCCAAAATTTCAACAGAACAATTTAATTGATGCGATAAATATATTTTTAAATAATGGATACCCTATTCAATTTATCTTTTCAATAATTCAAAATAGAATTAAATATCATTTTAATAACATTCATGTTAAGAATATTAATGTTTTACCAGAGAGATTTTTTGCTATTCCGTACGTCAGTTCTATTTCCGAGAAGTTTAAGCCTATTGCTAATATGGTAGATTATAAA